ATTGCATTCAATGATATATACATTCAACGTTATTTCAGTATCTGTTGTTTTATCGTTCTTTAGTTTTATTCCTTCTTTGTGTATATAAATCTATGTGCTTAAGCCATCTGAACTAAGCTTTTCCAATTGAAGCATAATTTTCAAACAAGTGCTCGATTTGAGGGGAACGCTATTCCCATTCTTGAAATAAATATCAATAGTTAGTTTTAGTTTACTCTTATTCTGTGATTCATGCAAAGTTATTGTTAAATCTTAATTTTCATTTAATATTTACGGAGTTCCTCATGTTAAGCAGTTACGATTCTTGCACATACTATACACTAAACCTTTCAGTGACACATATACCTTTGTGCATTAATGAATATTTGGATATTTCATCACTTAATCTCAAACTGAATCATTTAATACGAGGCAAGGAACTTAACACAAACGCAAAAAAGACGTCTTATTATGCATATTTTAAGACCAAGAACAGACAGGCTATATTCTCAACTTTAATAATGTTTCACAAATGTTTTATATCCGAGACTATACTAGCTATTTCAATTTGCACAATATTTCACATTTGTTTTCATTCCTAAGCTATACTCGCTATTTCAACTTGCACAATGTTTCACATTTGTTTTCTATCCTAGACTATACTAGCTATTTCAATTTGCACAATATTTCACGTTTGTTTTCATTCCTAAGCTATACTCGCTTTTTCAACTTGCACAATGTTTTGCATTTATTTGTAATTCTAGGATCTATATATATGTATATATTCGATATTTTATTTTGCACAATGTTTCACATTTATATTTCAATCTTATATTCCCAACAGAGATTTGGAGCTTCAGAGTTATGTCTACCAGAGAAGAAAAGAAATAGTTGAAGCGATTAGAAGTATAAGCGTTTTTTGCCAGATCTTTCTAACTGAAAATTAATAGGAAGATAATTTTGATCTTTCTTTAGTAAACTTTCTCTTCCCTCAGCCTTTCATTACATTTAAAAATAAAGGTTATATCATTTTATTATTAAAGGAAACATTGATATTATAAAACTATTTTTGATCTATAAAGAATGACTATATATAGATGAAAAATATTCCATATGACAACAGGTACAACGTTGTGCCTATATATTACAGAGGATTGAGTACGTTATACTAAAATGATTTTGAATATGCAAATGGGCAAGTCACATGATATTCACAGTCGATATAAAGTCGTGGTGGAACGAAATCTATCAAAATTACGTTTAATCATTGTTTGGCATTCGTAAGTAGTGTGATGCCACTAAACATTGATCACTTTTGGGTAGAGTATGTAACATATCTGTTCAATGCAGAGTATACACACGCTTAGATTATAAAGATGCATTCATATCGGATATTTAGAATTTCCAAGATGGGACTATCCCTTGTGTTTAATGACATTGACAAATAAAGTAATATGGATTAACTTGAGGAACGAGGACCATCCAGAAAGAGACATTCAACAAATAGTACCCCAGACATGGTAAGCATAGTTTGTCGTCTTGTAAAAGAAGAGGATATTATAACACAATAATCATTGACAAATGCCGTCCACGTGCCCCAGGCACTAGTATGCAACATAATAAAAAAGGATCTCCATCTGAAACAGTAACAAAAACTGATTCCACAACATGTCCATTTAACTGTTGCATACCTCAAGTAGCTGGAGAATGAAATGGGATTTCTTGCTGTTCCATACAATAACATACTGGTCAACTCACTGGATACAGCACCTATTGATTTTTGTGTGACTGAACTGTCGAAAGAGGTGCTGGGAAATAGTCATCCTCGTGCATTATATAGATTATATAAATCATGGAGAGAGAAGTGGTGTGCTTTGGACATGAATGACTTAAGACAGAAACTTTTGCAATAAACTGTGCTGCCAGGCTATTTCCAAGATGCGTGGTCGTCAGAAAGATAACGACTGGACGTAAGTACATTTACTGTGACGACGTGGTGAGGCTCCAAAATATAATATAATGTACTCAACCTCTTCATTCGCAATCGGATATTGAGGAACAAAATGATATTATGTTTGTTTATTTTATGTATAAATTTTGTTCTACTTGCTCTATACATACTTTAGACAATAATTAAGTAAGTGGTTCCATTTTCTTATTTCTCCATCTTTACCCAGATCTTTAAATTTTGGAGTAATCTTAAAGGCTATAATATTCTGGGATCGAGAGTAGATAACAACTTTTGCACTGAAATAAAAACAACAAATATAGAGATGTCTCAGAATGCAGAATGTACTTTTGTTGAAGTTGTTTATTTCCAGGAAGCATAACTCTTTTCTCCCATTGGGTGAAAGTGATGCATTAGCAGTGTATTTATGGGAGCATGTTCAGCCAGTGAGTCCATATAGTTATCTATAATATTGCTTTTGTAGTATATTCAGGTCGAACTGATTTTTCCCTTAGGCCTGAGAGTGATGGGATAGGTCCACATAATACCAGGAGATTGAACACATATTTATTATGAAGTAATTCTGAGTTCTCTGACTTTGAGAGAAAAAACAAAAAGATTAGACACAAGTGTACAAAACACAGTAAAACAATTTCTATTCAAATTAACAAACCCAATCATAGGACAAAGAACAGCACCTTTATTATATATTTATCTCTCTAAACGCTCTTAAGAGCACATGAAGATGTTTAATAAGAATTAGTCAGCGTTATAGATTAAACTTAAGGTCAATATTGCTATGTACAAAAAAAGGACTTAAACTCAGCTTACAAAACTGAGGGCTTGAGCTTGAGTGCTAACTAAAATATAATAGAGATTATATACCAAATTCTATAATACTGTCCCTCTAAGACGCGAGCGCCACCTATGCCACTGTAGGTCAGTTCCATTGAAACACAAAGAACTTTGCAATATAGAGATATCACGTGACCTACTATTGGAGGACACGTCTGTCTACATTCTCTGTGGTCAGAACAGGTGTTATCTCTAGAGAATGACAAGGGAGCAAAGACAGCTAGAACGTAATTAACTTAACGACTTTCTTGGCCATGTGTTATATAAAAACTGCATATGCTCAAAAATAAATGATAAATTCAGAATCTATACCTATAATAGTACTGACTGTTGTATGTCCATGTAATCTTGCAGGATTTGGATGGATCTTCACCAAAATTGGTATAGAGGTTCATTAGGTCCATGCGGGGATACATACAAACTTTTAGTTTTGCATTTTGTATTTTCGGTTTTTTATGGACGTTTTTGCATTTTTTACCACTACTTCGTCCCTGTTGACGGATCTTCACCAAATTTGGCATGTAGGTTTGCTGGGTCCATGCGGAGATACATGCAAACTTGCGGTTTCATATTTTGCAGTTTTTATGGGCATTTTTTTTCACAATTACATGTAAGGGAAGCAACTTTTATATGTCCTAAGATAACATTTCATTAATCATGACTTTACATAACTTCAGTCCAAGGGACGGGCACTCAAGCTAGTAAATATTATATTAATACCAGTAGATATGAAAATGTAGTATACTTACATACCACACTCCTTTGAAAGCTTTTCTTTATTTATTAATAAAGTTATAGTTTCTGTTAATTTAATCAAGCTGTAAGAATTGAGTTTTTTCTTCTTTTTTTACAGCACTTAGAGCCCATTTCTGTAACGTTATACAGATATAAGTTTCAGGAAGCGTTTGTCTGTTTGAAGATAAGCACAAAGCTACGCAATGGGCTATCTGTGCTCTGCCCACCACGGGTATCGAAACCAGGTTTCTAGCGTTGTAAGTCCGCAGACATTCCACTGTGCTACTGGGGGCTTCAGGAAGCGATGACATATGTTCTATATAGATACTTTTTCTATCGAACGATGGGAAGTGCTCTAAAGATAGCCCTCATGAAAGGAAAAATTTGTATTATAGATATTCTTTATGTAACGAGAGATATGTATTATACATATTTTTCTTCCATATCATGCTGAAACGTATGTTATAGATATTTGTCTGTAGAATATTGTGATGCGTGTTATAGGTATTTTCTTGATTGGAACAGTGGGATGTGTTACTTGCATGAAAGAACAGGCATTCCCTTCAAATGTTTCATATTTGAAATGTTGTACGTTGTGTCACATACAAGTTCTCGTATATGAACACTAGGATGTGTGTGTTGTATAAATATTTTGGCATGAAATAATGCGTTTCAGTAATTATTACGAAAGAGTTGATTAAACTATGCTTCTTTCGTAAACTTATCTCGATGATAAACAGGGCTAACTTTTCTGGAATTAGGCCTTGTAACATCTTTAGGTTTCTGTTTTGTTGTCACATTTCTTTGAGGAGAATGTCGAATATAGATGTTTTAGTTTAATTAAAACATTCAAAATATGTTTGTTTGAAGATAAGCACAAAGCTACACAATGGGCTATCTGTGCTCTGCTCACCACAGGTATTGAAACCCGGATTCTAGCGTTGTAAGTCCACAGACATACTGCTGTGCCACTGGGGGGGGGGGCTTCATGAGTAGGAGAAAACATTTTTTTGCTTGGAGATCAAGTCAAACTGATCTACAAACGTTTTTTTTTTGTAAATTTTTAATATTGTTATGTTTTGTAATTCAAATTTCAAAGACCAAGCAGTTTCAAGGTTTTATAAGAGATTAATGTGCAAACGAAATGTCTAATTTTATTCAGTAGTTGTTGTTTTTTTGACACATAAAAGGTAACATGACGTATATTTGATGATTTTATAAATTCATACTATTATTTTTATAACTGCTTTTAAAAATTGTCTAGCAAACGTTTCGCTAATTAAAGGTTATACTTACGTTTAAATATATATAGACGTCTTCTAATTGTATATTCAGTTGAGGCTGGTAAGGTTTATGAGTAATGTATTTACACTTGTAACTTATAAACCATCTGCTTATATAATTAACTGGTATCTTCTTCAAGTGCGCATGCGTCTGTTTAGCTTAGCTTTGGTTTGTTTCTGGATAGAAAATCAATAGTTGCAAGGCAAGAAACTTGATAAAACGTCAAGGTCTTTACTCTGTATAGTTTGCTATATTTCACCAGGTGTCTGAGCTGAGTAACTTGCCGTTTTGCGTTAAAAAAATCAACATGACCGTTGGTCAGTTGCCTGTCGCGTATACACTTTTGGAATTGACTGTGGCCGTAATTGCCGTTGTTGGAAATATGGTAGTGATGATAGCTTTCGGACTGGACAAACGAGTTCGGAAAAAAACTAACTTCTACATCTTTAGTTTAGCGACGGCGGATCTTTTGGTCGGACTAGTTGGAGTCCCATCGGCTATCCTTACAAAGTTAGGCCTACCCGAGGGAAGTTTCAGCGGCTGTATAACCATGCTATCGCTTCTGGTGGTGTTGTGTACCATCTCCATATTAAATCTTTTGGCAGTATCTGTGGATCGCTACTGGGCCGTGCTTCACCCTTTCAGTTATCGTCGAAAGATGACCGGTCGCGGAGTGGTTGCGATCATCCTAGGCTGCTGGCTGTTGGGAAATTGCATCGGCTTCTTACCGCTCTTTGGGTGGAATTCCGGATTAGAGCCCGGTGGCCGCTGTTTCTTTACAAACGTCATGAAGTATGAATTTTTAGTGTTCCTTTATTTCGCGACTATCGTTTATCCGACACTGCTGATGGCATTTTTCTACGCAAAGATCTATGTTGTTGTGCTCAAACAGGCAAGTAATTTTCTGTTTTTTATTACTTAAAGTAACTTACTGGTTCAAGTACTTGTGCCTTAATCAAACACTCAATCACATGTTTTGAAGTACATATATTTTGTACAAAATACACTAAAACATTAGTATTAAAGAAAAAATACTACTACCACCCGTTTACAGCTTAAAATGCAGTATTTGAAAACCGTTTTATTTGTGTGAAAATTCATTTATGAGTGTTTGATACAAAGTGTGATTGATTGGAAGTGTTAATAGTATAAAAATAAACATTCGATCAATCACAGTCAGTGTAACAAACGTTAGAGCGTTGTTTTAGGCATTTTAAAATCAAATGAGTTGAATGAAGATGGTTGAATCAAAAAGTTATGAATTCTGATAAAAATAATAATAAGAATAACCCGGTATATTCCCGAGTATAAGTTAGGTGTGTAGATCAAAGGACAATTCAAAACTACACGCATACATAAGTATCTTTTATACATTAATAATACAGGGACGAATAAAAAAACATCAAAATGCGGTGGATAAATTTAAAAAGGGTGAATCGGCTTTGGCGGAACATGTGTTGAATTCTACACATGTTATTGACTGGAATAATGTAAAAATACTTAAACAGGTAACAGAAAAAGGTGAACTAAACATAAGAGAATCCTTAGAAATGATTAAAAACAAAATGAATATAAATAGAGATTTAGGCCTAGGATCCATTAAAGTAAATTTTTGGAAATCGTTGTTGTAAATGGCGCCATTGTAAAAACATGCTAATTATACACGTACATTAGGTTTATAAGAAACTTCATGTGTACTTCGTGGAATTATTTCCACCGAAACATGTAGAGTTTTTAAAGTTTTTAACTTATATTTTTTAAACTTTACAAAAAATTATTGAGCAAGTAAAAAAGTTGATGTCTCATGTGATTAATTTTATTTAAAATTTTTGCACAAGAACTGTGTGTTTTACGTATCGAAGCTTTGATATCTTTATGTAAAACAGACTTCTTGACAAGTATCAGACAGGCTGTGATATTTTTAGCTAAAACCGATTTCTTTACAAGTGTAAGACAAGCTGGGATATTTTCAGGTAAAACGGACTTCTTGACAAGTATCAGACAGGCTGTGATATTTTTAGCTAAAACCAACTTCTTGACAAGTGTAAGACAGGCTCTAATATTTTCAGGTAAAACCAACTTCTTGACAAGTATCAGACAGGCTCTGATATTTTCAGGTAAAACCAACTTCTTGACAAGTATCAGACAGGCTCTGATATTTTCAGGTAAAACCGATTTCTTTACAAGTGTAAGACAAGCTGTGATATTTTCAGGTAAAACGGAATTTTTGACAAGTATCAGACAGGCTGTGATATCTTCATCTAAAACGGACTTCTTGACAAGTATCAGACAGGCTCTAATATTTTCAGGTAAAACCAACTTCTTGACAAGTATCAGACAGGCTCTGATATTTTCAGGTAAAACCAACTTCTTGACAAGTATCAGACAGGCTCTGATATTTTCAGGTAAAACCAACTTCTTGACAAGTGTAAGACAGGCTCTGATATTTTCAGGTAAAACCAACTTCTTGACAAGTATCAGACAGGCTGTGTCCGATACTTGTCAAGAAATCGGTTTTAGCTAAAAATATCAGTCTCTGATATTTTCAGGTAAACCAACTTCTTGACAAGTATCAGACAGGCTCTAATATTTTCAGGTAAAACCAACTTCTTGACAAGTGTATGACAGGCTCTGATATTTTCAGGTAAACCAACTTTTTGACAAGTATCGGACAGGCTGTGATATTTTCAGGTAAAACCAACTTCTTGACAAGTATCAGACAGGCTGTGATATTTTCAGGTAAAACCAACTTCTTGACAAGTATCGGACAGGCTGTGATATTTTCATATGGTAATAGGAATCGTACTACTACACCCGAACATTTGTTATCAGGACTTTTCCTTAAAGAGATCCACTGTTAAATTGTAACATATCTGTAGTCATCATCAAATCCTTTTCTTAGGTGCATCTAGGACTTTCCCGGCCCAAAAATATTAGCATCACTTGTTCTATTGATTGACGGATAGCTTATAATCACATAGGCGGAGCTGCTATTTGGCCTAGATTAGCACCAGTATCACACTTTGTGATTAGTCAAGAGATTTTACAATCACATAGGCGGAACTGCTGTTGGGCCTAAATTAGCACCGATATCACAATTTGTGTTTAGTTAAAAGATTTATAATCACATAGGTAGAGCTGCTGTTGGGCCTAGATTAGCACTAGTATTACACTTTTTGTTCAGTTAAGAGATTCATAATCACATAGGTGGAGCTGCTATGAAACCTAAGTTAGCACCAATATAACACTTTGTGTTTAATCAAGAGCTACAGGATGGGATAGACGGAGTTGTATGGGAACTAAATTAGCTCCACTATTGCAATTTGTGTTTAATCAAGAGATTTATAATCACATAGACGGAACTGCTGTTGGGCCTAAATTAGCACCAGTATCAAAAGATCTGTAATCATACAGACAGATCTGCTATGGGAATAAGACATCTAACACCATTAACGACTAGAACCTGAGCTTCCGACATAACTAGTGACTAGAACCTGACCTTCTGAGATCACCAATGACTAGAACCCGAGCTTCTGACATCACTAATGATTAAAATATGATTTTATGACATCATCTATGAATAGAACCTGACCTTCCAGCGTCACCAATGACTAGAACCCGAGCTTCTGACATCACTAATGATTAAAATATGATTTTATGACATCATCTATGAATAGAACCTGACCTTCCAGCGTCACCAATGACTAGAACATGAACTTCTGACATCACCTATGAATAGAACCTGACCTTCCAGCGTCACCAGTGACTAGAACATGAACTTCTGACATCACCATTGACCAGAACCTTGCTTTCAGACATCACCAATGACTAGAACCTGAACTTCTGACATCATCAATGACTGGTACCTGACCTCTTGATATCACCAATTATTAAAACCTGCTCTTCTGACATAATCAATGACTAGAACCTGACCTTCTAATATCACCAATGACTAGAACCTGAACTTTTGACATCACTAATGAATAAAATCTGGCCATCTGACATTACTAATGAATAAAATCTGGCCTTCTAACATCACTAATGAATAAATTATGGCCTTCTGACATCATCTATGACTAGAACCTGACATCTTAACATCGCCAATGACTAGAACTTGACGTTCTAAAATCACCAGTGACTAGGACCTGACATTGAACTTCACGCTTCATTAGAACCTGGCTTTCTAACATCAAAAAACCGGCATTCTGAAATCACCAGCGGCTAGAAACTGGTCTTCTGACATCATGAATGACTAAAACGTGCCGTTCTGACCTCACCAATGACTACAATCTGACCTTCTAACATCACCAATGACTACATATTGGGGTCTCTCTAACTAGAATAGAGGTTAATGGTACCAGAAACTCTGACATTGGATGAGAATTTTCCAGAATGAGTTGCTGTAGTTACCATTCGAGGAAGAGGTTCCACCTGTTATGTTTCTGTACATCCTACCAATTGCTAAGAAATAAACGACATTAAAAAACATTAAGTGGTTGATTGGTGTAGAAAGTGTTAATGAAATTGTGGGATGAAGGGCACATTCCGGAAACATTTAAGGAAAGTTATATGTTGATTGGAAAAACGCTAAATCACCAAGGAAAACGTGGAAGATACAGAAGATGGAAGAAGGTGTTAAGCAGGTATCATACTTCCAAGTCATAAACCGAGAAAATATTTGTCCAGGTTAAAGAACAGTCCTGAAAATCACCTTCACCAAAACATCCACATGGTGACTACTTTGACAACCCTGCATCCTCTACAATCTTGGATTCACATCGATCACCATCATCCAACGTTCCATCTAATCTGAATCTCCCATCCTTTAGTGCTGGTTTAATCATTATGTCACACAGGTCATTTGATTGATGGCAGTTTGGGTTCTTCTCTAGGTTTAATAAGATGAACAGCCATCAACCAACGTTCCATCTAATCTGAATCTCCCATCCTTTAGTGCTGGTTCAATCATTATGTCACACAGGTCATTTGATTGATGGCAGTTTGGGTTCTTCTTTAGGTTTAATAAGATGAACAGCCATCAACCGTTCAATGAGCTCTAGTAGATGAAGAGTTAGCCTAGACAAAGAGTCTGTACTAGGCTAAAACCAAATTCGGACGTGTGTAACAATATCAGGTGAAACTATCTCAGGAAAAGACGGTACATTTAGTTATCTCCCTTCTTTACATAATGTAGTTTAGTAATAACGTGCATATAACCATAAAAATTTATATACATACTTGTGTATAAGCGTTACAAACCAATATAGACTGCGATGTTGTTTTTAGACTGTATTTCAACCTTCAGGTTTTATGTTAAACTGTGTTTTGATTGAACAGTGTTATACTGTATCCAGTTTTAGCATATCATGTCAAGTGGTGTTCCAGTTCTGATATGCTGAGTATAAGCTATATTTTAATGTTGAGGTATTGCAATAATAACGGTAATCTGACCCATGTTTTAAGGTAGCACTATATATATGTTAGATAGCTTTGTTAAGTGTTTAGAGTAGTTTCTTACGTGAATTTTAATTTATTTTTGATTTATACATTTCTTCTGTAATTGATGATAACTATACGTAAATATTGTTTTAGAACAACATTATCTGCCAAACAGAGATATCCAGGAACCGAATAACAACTGTTATAGTACAACATTACCAACAAAACGAAGACATCCAGGAAACGAATAACAACTGTTATAGTACAACATTATCAATAAAACGAAGACATCCAGGAAACGAATAACAACTGTTATAGTACAACATTACCAACAAAACAAAGATATCAGGAAACGATTAACAACTGTTATAGTACAACATTACCAACAAAACGAAGACATCCAGGAAACGAATAACAACTGTTATAGTACAACATTACCCATAAAACAAAGAT